TCCTACTCGCGAAGCCAATTGTAGTGAAGCAGGCGAAATCCATTACTCACCGCACGGATCCTGCGCAACACACCGTTATCACCAACGACGCGGAAACAGAACGCACAACGGCTGGGAACGAGCGAGAACTATATTGATTGATAGGTTAGTAACATATCGATAAAATCGATAACAACGAGCAAGTAACTTTATACACGATGTCAGTCACCGTTTAGGTAACGTTCCTGGGTTGTTAGGATGCCTGAAGAAGANGAAGAAGAGAGAAGACTCTGTTTTAGGGGATGCGTATCGTCCAGTGCACTTTCGGTTCCATTACATATTCAATGGTCAGGGTCAACCCCATGGATGCAAAGTCCTACCGTTCTGTTATGGAAATCGAGAACTTGTCACCGTTCTACACAAATCTCCAATAAGATGAATCTATCAAACAAATTGTGGTACAATATTCATTTTAACAAACAGAACAATGCATGTTTGGTTTGTAGACGGAATGTGCTCAGGTCGCTAAAGCCAAAGACGATTGAAACGATTTCTTGGGTATAGAGAACGTAATCTGGCCCGCTCTCAGAGGAACTGGGGATTTGTCATGTCGTTCACAATAGTGCCTGCATACTATTTCGCCAACAGGNCAACAGGTTTGCATGGCATAGTATTTCCCCTAGTAGAGGTACACTAGTTTTTTATTTGCTGCTCTTTTTCTTACAGGTAAAAATTTCCGACTTCAAACCTGATCATGATTTACAAATGTTGATTGACATGGATCAAAAGTTGAACTCATTCGCTGTTTGTGAGTGGGGCGATCGGCAGGCAAAGAGTATTTTCTCCAAAGACTGCATCATGGCACAGTTTATGCCGGATTTCACGGATGTCTCGGACGAAATGGAGACTCGGACTGAGGTCTATTTCGTGATTGATCGTTCGGGTAATTTTGCCGATTGTTTATTGTCTTGCATAGGGGTAATGTTTGACCCAACCATGATACCTGTTTTTTGCACCATTGCACCATTGCTCCACCTGATCCATAGAACACCGGCTAATCTCACGTTAAACTCGCCTTTGTGGCCCCTTGAGTATAAGGTTTTTTATTGAAATCGATCGGATTATTACTTTGAAATGCCACTTGTAATTAGGTCGCTGAGGTTACATATAACAAATTTGCACGAATTACCAGTTCATGGTGAAAACACTGTTTGGTATCAACTAGACAGATAGCTTCACACATTCTCGGCAAATTTCGGCTGATCGATAGTTAACTGTCTAAGTTGCCTTAAATGACTGAATGAATGACCGAGCAGAGATTTGTACGGTTACTTCAGTACGCTGATTTATAAACCTCACTGTCGGTTTGCAATGTCCTTCCTGATTGGGACCAGTCATGCTCGCTGTTTGCAATTTCTGGGCACGAATGAAAGACGTATCAGAAGTCAGCTCATGGTGCAAGGATAGGAAAAAGTTAAGGGCAAAATAGGCCGCGTTCGACTTTCTCCAACTTCTCGTACGGATCCAATAAATGCCTTATCTTTATTTGTGAAGCTGGTGTATATCATTCCAACCGGATAGTACGCCATGTTTACTCCTCGCTCTGGTAGGCTCAAATTTGTCAGGTGAGAGGCTATGGCTAGTTGTGCTCTACCCTGCCAACGGGAAGATAACGGTGATCGACTTCTTTAGTTCTGCGCGGATCATCATCTGTTCCTATCTAGCACCAACTTCCGACACAGCTCTCGACGGACTGCTACGTGGCGCTCCAGTTCAATTGATACGCTAACTCAAATCGACCACATAGTAGTAAGCTACCGTTGGCGTGACTCAGTGCAAAATTGCAGATCTTATTGGACCACATGCGTTGAGTCTGACCACGCATTCGTTTTGATGCAGTTCACTCTCCGACTGACTGGCCGACGACGAACTCAACAAACTCGGATAGCTCATCATCGACTATCTGTTCCAGCAGTTCGTGTGCGCTATGAGTCAGAGCTAGTGCGTGAGCTAAGCGCGCCTCAACGTGATGATGTAGATGAACAGTGGAATCAGATTAGGCGAGCAATGCGTTCCACAGCGAATGTTGCTTGTGAGTCTGTACCTCAAGCCCGTCGGAGACATTGGATATCTCAAGAGTAAGTGGCCCTGATGGAGAAAAAACGACGAGTCCCGACCTGCCAGGATCAAAATAGAAATAGGTGGCATCTACAACGTCAGCTGAAGAAGAGCCTCAAGAAGGACCGTGAGAACTGGTGGGCAACAATAGCTAGTGCAATGGAAGTAGCAGCTGCATCAGGGAATAGTCAAAGACTGTTCCGACTGATACGCAAAACGGGAGGTCAGCGAACTGCAGTTAGTGACGCAGTCTGTGATAAGATGGGACAGACTATTCACAATAGGAATGAACGGCTTAATCACTGGGCAGAATAATTCAGCGAACAGTTCAGCTGGCCTGCCGCTAACTAGGTTGCCTTACTCGCAACTGAAGCTCCATGGACAGTTTCGTGCGATCCTCTAACGGAAGCAGAATTTCGGTCATGCATTCAGGCTGTGAAATGAGGAAAGGCAGCAAGATCAAATGAGCTGCCTTCCACTCTTTTCGAGCTGTAGTACTACCTTATTGCGCAACATTTGGACACAAGAGCACATTCCTTAATCTTGGGGCGAATCACTGATCGTTCGCGTTTTCAAGAAAGGATCTCGCAACGACTGCGAAAATCACCGCGGGATCAGTTTGATTCCGATCGTCACCAAAATGCTAGCCTCGGTCATACTTCGACGTCTGACTCCTTTAAGAGAGATATTCATCCGTGAACAGCAAACCGGATTCCGAGCTGGCCGTGGATGTATTGATCGATTTTTTACGTTACGCCAGGTCCTTGAGCTGCGTCACACCCACCGCCGACCAACGATCGCAGTGTTCCTTGACCTGAAAGAAGCCTTCGACTCAATGATCGCGACGCTCTCTCTGATTGGCTCCCTTCTTCGAAAGGGAATGCCCCAGAAGTACAAGAACTTACTGAGGTCACTATATTCGCATACCTCTGGTGGTGTAAGGGTCTATAATGAACTAAGTAGCGGCGTTCGTCAAGGGTGCCCTCTTTCGCCGTTCCTGTTCAATTTGGTAGTAGACGAAATACTGGGGAACGCAGTGAGTTGTCTCAAAAATGTCGGTATTGAACGGGCAGCTGGAGAAAATCTATGCGATTTAGAATACGCCGACGACGTTATCTGTCTTTTCGAATGTATGGAGGACGCGCAAAGCGCACTTGATTGACTAACGAGTGCAGTTGCCACATTCGGTATGTGCAAAGTAATGCTGCAGGACTGGATGTCACCTATGCCCGCTATTAAACTAAATAGTCAGGAATTAGTTACGATAGATTGCTTTTCTTACTTAGGTAGTTGCGCGATCAATGGCGGTAATGCAGCAAAGGAGATAACCGTCCGCATTTCCAAGGCCCGAGCAGCATATGCAGGACTGAAACACCTTTGGCGTAGATGCGACGTTTCACTGAAGTTAAGAGGTCGTGTATATTGTTCTGACCTGCGTTCACTTCTGCTTTGTGGTTGTGAGACCTTGAATTTGCGAGTAGAAAATATCCCCCGACTAGAGGTTTTCGACTATCGGTGTTTACGCAGTTTAGCCCACATGGGATGGAGCGAACGGGTTAGTAACGTGAAGGTAAGCCGCCGTGTGTCAGGGATAAACCTGCTAGCACACTGAATTCAGATTAGTAGATTTCGCTGGCTTAGGGCACGCATTGCGTACGCCCAGCTGTCGTCTGCCGCACCGCGCTTTATTCACTGTAGCTAATCCGGGCTGGAGGAACCCACTTGGTGGTCAACAGACGACGTGGAGACGAGGCATGAAGAAATGCGCCATTAGGTAGGATAGGTGTCTCTCGCCTTCCAGGTTGGGGTCCGAAAGACTCCACAACCGGTTGGTTGGAGACGTTGAAAGATATGGCAGCGAACCGAGAGCAGTGGCTTTCTTTTTGTCATTTCTTATTAGGCCAGAACGCTTGAAAGGGTATGTATGCATAGTTCGATTGCGTACTCTGTATGTTGACCATAGAGGTTCACGTTCTCCCTCCCGTCCTCAAAGTAGGTTCAATCTCCGTACACCTTGAATTTACCACTAACCTTATATGCATTGCGAGTTTGGCAGCGGTCAGTGAAGTTCGCTTCACAGTATTTCACTGTACGATGATGCTGATGATATGGTCAGCATTGTTTTGCTCTCACAGTTGTAGTTGTCAGGCTCACTCGCGTAGCCGTTCAGCTTGAAGTCACCTACGTGTTAGTTATTTTACCATTTCAGTTGTCTTCTTTTTCGGTGGTCTGAACTCAACCAAACTGGTTGGCCACGCTGCACAAGAAATTGAAAACCAGATCTGATCTGGAGATAAAAATTATTCTTTATTATGATGTTACCGTTTCGTCTGTTGCACATGCGCGAGCGTACACAACCGCCACTGCAACTCAGTAGGTTATTTTGATCCTTACTTTCCTTAGTGCTCTGGAACTCATTCGGCGGTATGCGAGCGCGCGTGAATACACGCAGAAGAACTCGTCCCGTGTTTTTTTAACTAATTTTTATACTTTGAAGGTTACCAAAACGGATCACGATATTCCAACTCATGTTTGTTTTTCATCTTGATTTCTGCATCATTATTAACTGTGGCCCAGTTCTGTGCGCTCTTCCGTTTAGAATGGCCCATACCACCAGCTCTCTTCTTTTTTTGCCCATTACGGCTGCGAACGCTTTCCATCCCATAGTGGTCTTGAACCTCTTACCAGAAACAGCTACTGAGTACCGAAGTAGAATGATGATGTCTGATTCCTCTGCACTGATCTCGATTGAGCTCACGCAGGACTGTAGAAAAATTGTTCATGTTCCCCCATTTCACTGCACGACTTCTGTTAAATTCGGTTCTCGTGGTCCATTTTGAATTGGTGTCGTTTTTTATTTCGAATATCGCGGTCATTGGCATGTTTCGTTTAGATGTCTCGATTTGGTTATTGCGAATTTAGTTTTTCAATCAGTTCACCGCCAGATCTCATTGTTGTTTGAAATTAAAAACTACTCTTTCACAAACCGCACTAGTGAATTTCTGTGCCAATTTCATACGGACTAATTAGATTTCAACCTAACATCACGGTTACATGTTTTTGGTGTGATACTATTACCCACCTAGTATAGTGTTTCACTTCACGTTCGCGCAGCTAATCTCGACAGGAAGAGGAAACATTTTGAATCGTGAATTTTTTATGAAGAACGTCATGTCATTGTTCCGAGTTTTGTGTAAACGATGCTCCTTGCGTTGTTCGATATTGCTTTTGGGATGGGCTATTGTCCGACCACGTGTTTTCTATTGGGGGCGGTGGAGGGGGTTTGAGAATCGTAGGCATTCACGGATATCGCTTGCTGATGTGTGAGCACACAAGCAAACATACATTCATAAACCATTTCAGTTCCTAATTGTTGTGCCAAGCTTTTACCCTGGTTCAGATAATCGTGCAACATAGGAGTGTGCAGTTACGGTTTGTGTGTATGTTTCCAGTTTCAATCAAAGAGTAAACTTTGTCCAATACAACAGCTATAAGCCTCGTGTGTCAGACATTGTCATTATTTGAAGCTTGTTCGTTCACCGTTGTTCACTCAAAAGGATAAATAACCTACAGAAGATGCATTTGGTTTGGTTTCTGTAGCGCTGTGTGAGATTTCATCAAACGCTGAAGCCAGTGTTGACCGTGTAGCCCAAGTTGAAGGGATTTAACACTCGATCCGAAGGTTCGCGATAGAGAGAGATGAATAGGTAGTATTCGCTTCTGTCATATCCCAACAGAGACGTAACAGCCGTTCACCACGATTTGTTGGTTATCATACACAGTTACACGAACAAAATAATGTGCATATGGCGCGAATGATAGTGGCTAACGATTTTCCAAGTAATGAGGATCATTATTACATATCTTGTGACTTCGCATGGACTAAAGGTCATGTTCAATCGAAGTGCCAAGTTCGGCTCGTGATCTATTGGTTGAGTAAGTCAGTTTTATCCGTGTTGCTTCTAATACTAGAATATAATCGATTAACCATCTGGAACCAAATCCAGTACGGCATAATCGGATGAGAGGCATCAATGAAAAACAGACTGCACGTGACCCTTTTTCTTGTTTTCTCGTTCCATCCAGGGAGCATGAGTGGAGGCAATATTGCACGTGCTGCCGAATCGTTACTTTTATTCCTCAAAAGCCTTCCAACTGGCTGTCGCTTTCAAATTATCGGATTTGGAAGCACGCATGAAGCACTCTTTCCAGAGTAAGTGATCTCAGTTAGTCTTTGAACAATATTTCATCTGACAGTTTTGATACTTGTTCTTTTTTACTACAGACAGGTGTTCAAATATAGAAGGGATGAATCCCATAGTAACGAGATCAATGCATTTGGCTATTGTCATTGACTCCTGAGCCCTAAGCCTTGGAATAATGAACTACATAATAATAATAATAATAATAATAATAATAATAATAATAATAATAATAATAAGTCTTTTTAATTCCTTTTTTTGTTGAATATACAAACGTACAGTCAACTTTCGGGAAGGGGGCTGCGGCCAAACAAAGGCTGCCTGGGGAAAATACAGAAATAGAGAAGACGGGCGGCGGTGGAGCGGTTCGAACCCAGGCTCAAATCGCATTCTACAGGGATGAGTTAACAATCAGCTGATGTGACATGGCTACATAAACGACGATCTGACGGACATACGCTCACTTTCTTATTCCCCTCGAGCGTAGAATAAAAATGTGTGACTTTTGCGCACGATTACGTTTTCGTTCTGAAGATCCATCGTCAGAGCAATCAAACAAGCCCACGAGTGTGAAATGGTCTCTGTTCGCTTTCCTCCTCAGTTCTCTTTTTCTTGATTTGGCTCATCTCACATGCACTAATACGAAAACGGATTCTTCTGGTTTGTTTGATTGTGTGCTTGACTAACTTTGGACATGGAGAGCTGAATGATAAGGCAAGAAAAATCCTTGAACGCAGTTTCCTGCGTTTTCGCTTGTTTCAGATACTTACCCTTTTAATCATTCGTATTTGAAAATACGAATTACAGTGGATTCGAAAATACAGTACTTTTGAGGAGTGATGTCGCTTACCCTAATTAGGCTGAGATCTACGGATCTCACTTCGCATACATGGAGACGAATTCCCGATAGATGCTAAAGGTTTTTCTACTGGTGGTGAACATTCATCATTCACCAAATATCACCCCGACCTTGACCCCATTAGAATGTCGAAAATGGCGTTTAGTTGTTCACGTGATGGGAATTTTTCCACAGAGCACAAGATAGCCTTAATAACATCTCACCTCCAAAACGCTTATTCTTCCATCACTGTTTTGATTTATAAATCCCCTTCCATATTTAGAACGCGAACAGCGCCCTCCATCTCGATCTCAGCTGTTTTGCTTTCAGACAACTCTGCTCCGTATCGGAAACGGGAATCTAGGATCCTACTACTATAAGCCACTTAAATGCACCGGGGTTGTCTTCGAGGTTCTTCCTCCGCGCATCAGGTGATGACGAAGCCCGTTCAGTAGACCAGCATGTCGTGGGCATTGTACTCAATAATACAGCCAAAGCTGCACTACTCGATTGGATCCCCGTCAACAGTCGTGTATGTGCGATGCGATTTTAAGGGTCTATCAGCGTCCGAAAGGGAAGCAACACCACAAGGTGTCTGTTCATCATTTCAGCGTATGCTCCGACGAACTGCATCTGTGACGCATAAAAGGATGAGTTTTATGATGAACTCACCGAACTCATTCGGTTGAGTCGAAACTCCGATATAGTTATTCTCACAAGTGATTTTAACGCGCAAGTTGGAAAACAGCGCATCGGAAGCTTGCCTAGGGGGTCATTGTGCTCTGCCCGGCCCGCGAACAGATAATGGCGAGTGACTTTTTCAGTTCTGGGCAAATCATCATCTGTTCCCGTTTAGCACTTCCGACACAGCTCTCAACGGACAGCAACATGGCGCTTAAATTCAACTGCCACGCTAACTCAGATCGAC